TGATGTGTCAAAGTGCATTCTACTCTCATGTATAACTAATTAGAACAAATTTTTTTAAAAAGTAAAAAAAGAGAGGCTATTACAAAAATTTCACCTTAATTAAAACAAAAAACAAAAGAATAAAAAATACTGTATGGTGACTGATATAGTGAGCTAGTCATAATCATTTTTTAATTTTTAATTTTCACTCCAAGTTAATTACAGGTCACTGGTAATTTATATCAAAAATATTTTTGTCCAAAAGCACAGCATTGCCACAGCAGTAAGAAATTAAATTTTTAAATAAAATATGTATATATTTTCATCTTACATATGATAAGATGAACTTGAAGAAAGTAAAAAAGAATGCCTTCTTGATAAAAGACTAAACAAATATCCATTGGAAAAATAGTAAGACTGCCTATCTCACTCCTTAAGTGAAATTAAACAAACATATGAATAAAAAGGTACAAATTTATTGAGAAAAGTAAAAAACTAAAGGGTCTAGAGGAAAGGATAAAGGTAAAAGAATATCTTCATGCTATTGCTTTAAGCAAGGATGTTAAAGAGTATTTAAAAATCTAATCCAGAAGGGAAAAGAAATGAATTAKATTTAATTAAAAGTAAGCTCTGTGTTTCAGAAGACAGCAAAAAGATTAGAAAAATACAAGCCAGAAAATAAGAGATCATATTTGCAAAACATATTTTAAAAGACTGATATCAAGATGTAAATAGRACTAACCAACTAAAATTAAAAAACTCAAGACTAACAATTTGAGTTTTACCCCCTGAAGTAGGTACTCCATTAAGGAAATAAACAGTGAGTAACATATGAAAAGTTATTGAACTTTACTGATCATTACAAAAATGTTCATTAAAAATTCTGCATAGTTTATGTAGTCATTTACCAGGATGGCTAAAATGAAAGAGGCAGATGCACAGTGCTAAATATGTTGTGGACCARTTGACACTCTTATCCATTGCCATAGAAACATAATTTTACAACCGATTCYAAAGGTTATTTGGCTGTACCTTCTGAGGCTAAACTAATTCATATTTTACAGTCATCAATTCCATTTCTACCTATATTCTGAACAGAAATGCATCTAACCATTCATCAACAGACATAGGCTTGATCATCATGTTAGCRCTATTCATTATAATCTCAAATTGGAAGCATACATTAATTCATAGTTGAATGAATAGATAATTTCAAGCTTTCATAAATTGGAATGTCCATATAGTGGTGAAGACAGGACTATGGAGATAATTGAAAGCATATGACTCTTAGAAATATAATGTTAAATAAAAGAAGTCTGACATAGTATACGTACTGTTATCCTTCCATTTATTCAACTTAAAAAAGAAAAACAGGCAGAGTTAATCTATGATATTGAATCCAGATGGCAGAATACACATTGGTGAAGCAGTAACCAAAAGGGAGAAGACAAGCAATTGCTCTAGTACCTTTGATCTTCCTTATTCAGTTTTAGGGTGATAAATTACAACAACTTTGTTTACTTTATGTAGAAACTTAAACTGTATACATGGAATTTTTGAATATTTTATAGAAAAAAAACTTTGATAAAATTTTCATAAAAATATACCCTTTGCCAAATCTTTATGATGATATCTGTGTCCTCATGCTATGCTTCTTCTTGGGCTGGTATTTTGTTTCAGGAAAGAATTATCTCCRCTTTCAATGTCTTGTAGTAATAACAGTATGTGGATAACGTTTCACTACACAATACTCATTTGGGCTCTGGTGGAATCCCTTTCAACAACCTCAGGTGGAAAACAGATCAATATCTCACTTTCTGTCATACTTAGAATATCTAATCAGAGTGACTCCTTGGGTCAGTTATTAATGTCTTTAACTAAGAGGTTTTACTAGAACTTTAGTACGATGTATTTATAATACAATAAACTATAGATATTTAAATTGTAGAATTTGATGACAAGGTTTAGACATATGTATATACTCACAAAATCAGAAGCACAATCAATATAATGAATATTTGATCATTGACAAATTTCCTCAGTGATTCTTTGTAGTGCTCCCTCTTTGTACTTTGTCCATGGGCAACCCCTGACCTTTCTGACCTTAGAGGTTAGTTTGCCTTCTTTACAATTTTATGTAAAGGAAATACATTTATTCTGGCCTGTTTTATACATTATAATACTTATGAAATTTATTTTTGTTGTGTACATTMATAGTTTATTTTGTTTCTGAATACCATGTCATTGTGTGGATATAACCCAATTTGATAAAGCATTCTCCTATTAATAAGTCTTTCACCTGATAATAAATATTCAGTTTGGGCTATTACAAACAAAGCTTCTATTATATCCCCATATGAATCTTAGTACAAGCAAGTTTCTATTCTTTTTATTACATATGTAAATACCAAGTTGAATAAAAAAAATTAACTGTCTTCCAAAGTTCTTCAATCATGCATTGCCCTTGACAGTTGTTCTGTATCTTTTCTAATATTTGGTAGAACTAATTTTTCAGTTTAGCCATTTTAATTCATGCATASTTATATMTCATTATGATTTCAATTTGCATTTTTGTAGTGAACAACTTTTCAGGGACTAATGGACAATTTGTATATATTTTGATTCAAATTTTTATTTTAGTCTTCCAAATTGGATTGTTAGTCTTTTATTATTGACTTGTAAAATTTCTTTGTATGAGAATGGCACATATCCATTTTCTGATAAGTGTTGCAAGCGTATTCTTTCAGTTTGGGGGCTTGCATTTCTCATGTTATTAATARCATACTTTGAAACACAATATTTTAAAAATGTTTTTTAAAAAGCCTATAGTCAGAATATGGGCTCATTGAAGGTCATGTGATCAGTAGAGTTCTAAGCCCTTTCACAATGTGTCTAGTGGATCTCAGAAACCAATCTGTGGTTATTCTGCCCMTTCCAAAATGTTTAGCTGGACTAGACATACTTGGAAACTGGCAGAATTCCTCTCTATTTGAGAGAGGACTCCAAGTTTTGTTCTGTTTAGTCATTCACCTGATTGAATGAGTCCCAGCCACATCATGGAGGGTGTAGTTTTGGTTWTGCAGCCAATACATTTTAAGACTCCAGTAAACTTGTGTCTTGGTTTGGCTGACTTGAACCACAGTAAGATTTTATCCCTGAAACATGATTTTAATACTCATTATAGAAATAGATGATACTTACTTTTGTAATAATAAGATTTGCATTTATCTAGGAACAAATATTTACTAGGTAAATTTATTTCCAATTTGATACTGCACATAAGCAAGAAAACATTTTGTGTTTAGTGTCAAATTCTGTAAAACATTTACTCTATTGAAGCTTGATGACACAAATATTTCCCCTATCAGAAGAGTGTAAAGGGAGAAAATTTGAAGACTATCTCCAAATTAAGTATGAACAGTCAAACCTCCTTACAAAAAAATATCATCACCACCCGATCTCGGATCTGCTTGGTTCTTATCCCATAAATAAGGGGGTTTAGAGCAGGGGGGATAATCACATATAAGTTAGCAAGGAGGATGTGGATRTAACGTGGAATATTGTGGCCAAATCGGTGGGTCAGAAAGGAGAAAAAGGCTGGGGTGAAGAATGCTAAGATGACGCACACGTGGGAACCACAGGTATTGAGAGCTTTACGCCTGGCCTCCCAGGATGGGAGTTTAAAGACAGCATGGAGAATCTTCACATAGGAGACAGCAATCAAAATAACATCCAAAAGGATCATAGAGATAAGAATTAATCCAAATAATATGTTGACCTTTATGCTGACACAGGCCAGAYGGKCAATGCCCATGTGCTCACAGTAGGTATGGGGTATGACATGGTGTCCACAGAATGACAACCTTAGAAGGAGAAATATAAGTGGAAAAACCAAAACAAAATTTTTCAACATTCCTATCCCAACAATAAAACAAATTGTTCTGTTGGTGAGAATTGTGTTGTATCGGAGAGGGTGGCAAATAGCAACGTAGCGATCAAAGGCCATGGCTACAAGCATGAACGTTTCTATGCCTGTGAACAGGTGTATGAAGAACATTTGAGCTAAGCAGTCCCTGAAAGCAATTTCWCTGAAACCAAACCAGAATATGCCCAGCACTTTGGGGATAGTTGCAGTGGACAGGCCCAAATCAGTCAGAGCCAAAATGGCCAATAAATAGAACATGGGCTGATGAAGGCTGTGCTCAATCTGGATCACCAAAAGAATGGTGGCATTCCCCAGGAGGGCAATCAGATACACTGTGCTGAATGGGAAGCCAAGCCAGAGCTGCATATTTTCCAGTCCTGGGATTCCCAACAACAGAAAAGAGGAGGGGTGAATACATGAGCTATTTGCTGGTGACATGCTGGCAAGGGCCTCTGATGGGCTCACTCATTTGAAGGGCGCTCTGCAGGTCTTCTCAATGCTTCACTGATATTACTAATTCTGAATAAGAACAAAAAAAAATATGTAGTTAATTCATTTTATCTTGGAATGCAAGAAAGATTCATCACTACACATGGCAAAAGAAGGAAAATGTTCCTTAATAACTCACTTATTATTTAAACATTCATTAGATACTCTGAGTTTAGTTAGATAATAAACCAARCCTAGTGATAATATGAAACCAACTAGCTGGTAGATGTTTCTATATTGAACTCCATTTTTTAAAAATATTTACTTATAAATTGAGAGAAGATTTACACTTTGCTATCTGACTGATAAATGATTACAACCTAGAAACATATGTAACAGTATAGGTTTTCAAAGCATCCAAAACCATTTACTTAACTAGAAATATGAGACTGATATACACCTCTGTGMATTTCCACATATACTCAATCACCTTCATTTCTGATCCTTAACATAGCCTCTCTCTCTCTGACTCAATCAGCTTATACAGAACTTTCATCAAAATCTAACTTTTTTGCTACTTTTTGATTTGTGCTGCTATTTTTTTTGTTTTCATCAATTGATGAAGACATTKTCTTCATTCTTTGAAATAAGAACCTTGC